ATATATTTAAAGGAGTAGTAAAACTTTTACTGATAATTTACTCACCCCCAAATCATCCAAGATGTCCACGTCTTTCTTTCTTCGGTCGAAATAAATTAAGGTTTTTGATGAAAACATTCCAGGATTTTTCTCCATATAATGCACATTACTGGTAACTAAACGGTTCAAGGTCCAAAAGACAGTTTCAGTGCAAACTTCAAAGGGCTTTAAATGATTCCAGATGATGAATAAGAGTTTTATCAAGCGAAACGATCACTCATTTTTTAAAAAAAATAACAAAGTTTAAGTTGTATAAGCTCAAATGGTCGCGTAAGCTTATCCACTTTAAAATTATCTAACCTTTTAAACATCAATGCATGCACCATACAATGATCTAAATATTCCCAAATAAACTTTAAGTCTTTATTCAACAATATTTGATGACTGTATCAAATCTTACTCATTAAATATTCAAAATTTGCCTCCTCAAGCACTTCAATTGAATGAGGTGTGCGTAGTCACATTGTCCTTCACATAGTTTTGCCATTTTTGGAATAAATTATTTAGAATAATTTCTGTCTGTCTGTTAAGTTTTTCTTTATGCTGTATGTATTTTTAAGAAATGGTTTTAATTAGGTTAAGCAGAGGAAATGTATGGTATAACAAAAATTTCTCTGTTTATTTGAAAAGTGGTTGTTCATCCAGAACAAAAGTGGATGTTACTAGTTCAGATGGCATTTTCCGGTGAAAATTATAATGTTGGTCATACTTCCAAAAAGAATAATCTGTGATTTTGAATGACAGTCGCACACTCTCCACAAACATTGTGTTCATCCACGCTGTGCCATTTCCAGGGTGTTAAAGTACAACTCACGTAAAGTTGATAATTATATGAAATAAGATTTTGAATGGATATGGTGAAAAAGAGGAAAGACTGCAGCTTTAAATGGTCTCCTCTTAAATGAAGTCCCTGTTTCTTTGTTAGTGTGATGTCCAAACTTGAGCTGAGACACTTAAAAAGGCGATTAACATTACACAAAGAGATGCCTGGGGATCGTGTGCTATTTCTGTTACATCCGCTGTGTTTCTCAGAAGACTCTTCATGGGAAAATATGCGTCCTGTTGTCATTAATGATGCCAGCCATGAGGAAGGTGCTCAGACAATACGATATTAAACAGGCCCATTTATTTGGATCAAAGTGATGCAAATCAGTTAGAGGGCATTACGTCTTCTATGCAAGCATGCCCTGCACTAAGAGGACATGGCTGTTGTTACCCTGTCTTCCTGTCTTGTCACAACAACAGTTTATGGAAAACCTTTGGTACCGTATCTAAGGACACAGTCTACAATTTGTCCTTTTGCACACATAGAAAGCCGTTTGCAAGATGTCTGTGGGGAGTCACTTCATTGATTTTTATCTTCGCCAATTCCAACATCTAGAGATGTGAAACCACATTTCCCAGATACATCTCCGAGTAGTGTGCCCAAAGTGGCTTTACTACCTGCTGATGTTCAATATTTATCTTCTCAAAGATCAGATAACATTGGATAAGATTACATGCTTTATTTGGAGATGGGAAGGCTTTCGGAAATCTAGGTGGTTAGAGACAGTGGTTTCTGGTGCTGTTAGAGTACAATAGTGGCCACCCACATTTGTCCTTGAAAGGATTTTTCCCGTTTATTTTCTTCATTTGCATTTAAAAATTCTTCAAAAAAGAATGTATCAACAAAACCATTAAAAACGTTGATTTATAATGTTAACAGTGAATATGTATGTTTAAAAAGAATAGTTCACGCAAAAAAAAAATAATTCTTGGCATTTACTCACATCAGGCTATCCAAAATGCGGCTGCGTTGAAGCTGCCTAAAAATGGATTTTGGGCCATCAAAAAATTTGGTACCCATGACTTGCATTGAATGTTCCTGTCGTTGTTCTTGTTTTGTTCCATGTCTTGTCATGCCTTTGTTTTGTGTTGATAATTAAAGTTTGCGTTTGGGTCCTCACCAGCTTACCTCCAGTAGACCATTCATAATCATAACACACCATTATTGCTCAGGAAAATACAGTTCAGTTCAGTCATTTATCAACAATAACGAACCCCACTGTATGGGGTAAGTTGTCATGCGAAAACTGCCTCATAAATTGTTTAGCAACATTAAAACAGAAAAAAAATCGAAAAGATAAAGTACTAAAGATTTCAAATTATTATTTGATATTCTTTGTAATTAATATATTGTAAAACATATTTCAACATACAGTATGTGGAAACTTTCCCACACCTGACATGAAAAATACCCTTATCCTGAAAACACAGTATAGCACTACAGGGCTGTTGAATGCTTGAATCTGATTGGTTGACGAAGGTTCTAAGGTGTGCAGTTATTTCCAGGGAAACGCGCAGCTAATCTTGACCACATGACAGTTCTATATCACCACACCAAATGATTTCAATTATTTCAAAGCTCAGACTACAACCGCAAAAGCCACAATGGCACTGACCATGCAAATAAATATAGTAAAATGCTATAATAAACGTACAGTAAAATGTTTAAAATGTTTATTTTTTCTCGATAAGTCGATCCCCGAAAGCCGTTCCTACAGTTCAGAAGTTCGCTGAACTTCATACAGTTCAGATCACTCAGCACGGTGTTCGTGGTTTGACTTATCGAGACTGTTTTCCAAGATGGCTCCTGTCTGTATACACGAAGTGAACTGTCTTTATAAAGTATCTTCTTATTAAATGGTCTGTACACTTGAAAAGTTCTCAATGCTTCGTTTTGCATGTAGGGACCCTCATTATGTTACTGTGTTAGTGTGGGGCTATATTGAGCCTTGTTAGTGGTATAAACTAGTGATTTCTTTTTACTTAGTCAATGCCCCCATTACTAGCGTTATACACTAAACAGTTTTTAGAGATAAAACTCTTTACATTCGACTCATGAAAACGAATCTCAGAGAACAGTCGACTAGGTACCGATGTTTTATTAGACCAAAGGTGCATTTTGCGCCCGAGTTCTTCTTTAAGGTCTGGTTTTAGAGGTGTCACAGATTGAGCCTGATGAATCTTGACATTATCATCCTGGAATATGGCCATGATATTTCTTCCTACATGGTTGTTTAAGAAATGAAAAGCTACACACTCCATCTATTTTAGAAGAACTATTGCAAATTTATAAAATTAAACAATAATCCCTGCAATAATGATCCAATCTGACTATTTAAATTTTAAATCCAAACCGTGACTTTTTTTGGCCGGGCAGTGTAGGAAATATTAAAACAGAAAAAAATCTAAAAGATAAAGTACTAAAAATTTCAAATCATTATTTGATATTCTTTGTAATTAATATTTTGTAAAACATATTATAACATATATTTTGTGGAAAATTTCCCTATGTGTGAGTGTGTGTAAACCCCATGGAGGTATATAACCCGTATAATCCGAATATACCCTAACCTGATATATAACTCTGCCCCGGATCATATGGATAATTTAAAATTTGTTCAGTGTGAGAATAATAAAATGCCAAGATGATTCCACAGTCCACCACACACTTCTGTAGTCTAAACACACGACTGCATCCGAGTCTTCTCAATAAAGAAACTCAGACTGGTGTGAAATGACAAGACAAAGTCCATAAGCTCCTCATACTCCAAACCTCTGCTGACAAATGTTCCTGAGTGGAGAGTTGCCAGTGCATAACGCAATATCTGTTATTGTTAACAAATGACTCTTGTGCAACGTATGTTATTGTGCCTCATACATTGTCACAGGGCGAAGCCACAGTATCTTTTTCTTTTCTCTAAAACAATGGTGAGATAGGATTCCGAGGTAGCTTTTTTCATCTCTCATTTGCATGTCATGTGAGGGAGAACAAAGAACAAATGTATCAAGTGAGCAGTTAATTTGCTAATGAAAGAAAGCAATATTTGCCAATTCTAGCATACCGTAAACTATCACAATGTTAGACCAAGGAATGTATAAGAATTAAACTGTGATATATCTGTTGAAATTAAGACTTTCTTCTGGATTCCGAGGAAGAACTTATGCTAATCCAATATGCTAATTAAAGCAAACAATATTTGCCTATAATTGGCCAAAATGCTAATGAAACTTTTGTGTGAAATTTAGACATGATTATAAATAACACATACTCACATGATCAGAAAAACACACAATATGGATCTCAATGTTCCTTATTCGCTACACTGTATTGTTATGTCTCTTGAATCATTTCATTTATACTGTATGTCCTACAATTTGCAGCAAAGGGGTGGAAAAATATATTAGTGACATAAAACTGACATATATTGTTATGTGTAGAGTATGGAGAGTCTTGGTTATTTTTACAGCTAAAATTTTAAGTTATCTTCATATATATATATATATATATATATATATATATATATATATATATTTTTTTTTTTTTTTCTGTGCACCACTGACTGCACATGACACTTTTTCTGTTATCAGTGAGTTATGTTCCCCAATAAGGTTTGTATCAGTTTGAATAAGACAATTATTGGGTCCAATAATGCATCAATGAACGAATTCATATATGAAATTTCTGTAAGTCATTCATAATGACCATCACACTCCTGTTCATTACAGATTCACCTTCACGCATATGTGTGTAATGCATGCTTTAGGCTACATCATAAAAGCTCCAATGACTGAAGAATTTGTTATTGACGGATACCAGATTTAATCTGATCATAAAACTCTTCCGTTCACACGAGAAAAGAGCCGAGACTAAAAACAAAAATAACAAACCGCAAGATAAATTATCGTCACCGTAACCACATCGTTTTTATATGAAAAGCAGATATGTCCATTTGGAGTTCGAAACTCCCATGCCTCAACAATCTAGTTTATTTTAGAATTCACTCGGAAGCCATTACCAGGCAACAGTGCAAACTTAATGCAACTTTAAAGGCAAATAACAATCGTAATATCAGAGCAACTTCCAGAAACCTTTTGTTTAAACACCAAAATAGTTTAAAAATGAAATAATGACTTACTCTGTGATGTGATGAGATTAAAGCATTCCACCAGAAGGCTCTCACTGGAATGTGATGTTTCTCTTCATGAGACAGATGAATGAATTTCACATGTGCGCACGAGAGCGCTCGTGCTCATACTGACATTGAACCAGGATCGACTGGGCGACGTGCGCGCGCAATCTCCGACGCACGTGGACAATGTGTCAATGATCTATACTGAGTGACTGCTTGATAGTACATGTCATTTTCTGGTAATCGCGATCTTTTATGCATCAATTGTATGTAAGCTCTCTCTCTCTCTCTCTCTCTCTCTCTCTCTCTCTCTCTCTCTCTCTCTCTCTCTCTCTCTCTCTCTCTCTCTCTCTCTCTCTCTCTATTCAAGATTCAGGTCAAGATTCCTTATTTCAGTTCCAATAAGTTTGCCTCTTGAACGCCTTGAAATTAAATTAATGATTTATTTATTTATGTACATTAGTACATTAGTTTTCCCATTAAGTGACCTATTTTTTAATACAACAGTTAAAAGAAGGAGTTTTACCTATAAGATTTGCATGATGCATACTAGTAATACAATTCCTTTTCATATATGCACATATGTTTCCATCCACCAGTATATAGAAAATGGGAGTAAATTAGAAGCAGCATGTTTCAACAGCCAATGTGCCTTTCAAAAAATGGAGAAAACGTGAAAAATGAAGGTTTGGGAATTTAATTAGTGGAGCAGTAGATGCTGAAAAGGTCAGTCTGTCACTGTCAGTGGCCTTTGACTTTCATTTTGCATGCAACAGTAAGGCCTTTTTCATGAGTAAATTGGTCTCATCCTTCCCATTTAGCTTGTGGTAAACTATAAAATGTCTCCAATTAAATGGGCAACTTCCGAAAAACATCTAAAGAACAACTTTGGCTGACTCGCATAGCGTACCCAGCCCTCTACATGACCATTTGGCCTTCTACTGTAACCGTCTCCATGACCATTTGGCCTTCTACTATCTGTCACCATGGAGACTGACACAATCATTACATCTGTTCGTCGTTCAGTCAATCATCTATGTGTTTTTAAGTTCCTGCCTGTGTTCTGTTCATTGTCGGGTATCGTCTATATTAAGTGCACATGTTGCTTCCTGTTAGCCCCTCTGTTGAATTATTGCTAATTCACGAGTTCACACTTACAAATAAGTCAGATATAATTAATGCATATTTCGCGTGTTGTCCGAGGAGAGGGCTCCGGGCTCAGTATATGGCCCAAACCCAGAATACTCCCCCCGTATTCCTAACTGTGAAAAATAAGCCAGGAGTGAGGAGTCAGGGTGGTGAAGGGATGCTGAAACTGTCAAAGAATGTAAGGTGAGTTGAAAGAGAATATTTACTTCCCTTTCAAGGGAACTCGAGCTGCATTGAGACACGGTGGGAAAGCCCTGTTTGATTGCGTCGTGAAGCACGTGTAAAATCAGTCCAATGGAAAGACGGGGCGTCATGATGTCATAGACCAGGAAACTATAAAGCACCCCTGAAATCAGACCGTCCACGTCCAAGTGATCTCAATGCACGGGCGCGTGTACGTCACTCATTGCGTTTACACAGAGATTTTGGAAGTTTTACCGTTCACTGTGAAGATCTAAATATCTAAATCGTCTTCCATTACGATTTCCTGTATATCCAAATATGTTTATAAAATCAGAAATCTCTGTGTAAACTCAATGAGTGACGTACATGCGCGTGAGATCACTTCCGCCGCTTTCCGGCGCATGCGCAGAGAGAAGCGCCCGTGCCTTCACTTGGACGTGGCTGTGGTTACAAGAGGTAAAACCGATATAAATACTTTTCGTTTTCTCACACAAACCGCTCGTTTCGTGTCTAAGGCCATCAATGTGTACTTACATTTAATCATGTTTAATTTGGACTCTTTGAGGTGACCCCGGGGTGAACCCCATAAAACTCCATTATATGACTGACAGACAAGAACGGTTCGACCTATCAAAATTGAAAATAATGTGGAAACAGAGACACCTACATCTTGGATGCCCTTGAGGATCAAAAATTAATTTCAAAGTGAACTATCCCTTTAATTATATTGACTGCCAGCTGATGATGTGGATGTTGAGTCTAGAAAAACTCTGGAAAAATCTGACCTCTTTTGATCATCAAAACAAGTTGGGACTGAAACCTACACATTAAATAATCATGGTATCGTTCCCCAAGAAATCTCAAAGGGAAACGTCACTGTACAGGTTTATTGTTGCTCATCCAAAACGTCACATCTTTTTACATGAAGATGAATGATATTAGAATGACATAATTAACATTTTAAAGAAGAACGTCAGACATAGATGTCCACTTAATGGGGATCCCGTCAGGGAGCCAATCGTCTTCGACTACTATTGAACGAGCCAATGGGAATTGGCGTACATGATGGCGCGGGTGTAAATTTATTACATTTACATTTATTCATTTTGCTGACGCTTTTATCCAAAGTGACTTACAATTGCACACCTCTGGAGCAACTAGGGGTAAAGTGTCTTGCTCAGGGACACACTGGTGTCTCACAGTGGATTCAAACCCAGGTCTCTCACACCAAAGGCATGTGTCTTATGAGCCCGATCTCATGAAAGTTCGTATCTATAGCACGAATGTCATTTCTTGTGCCATTTATATGCCAAAAATAGTTTTTTCAAAATCCCAAAAAGTCATATAACTGACGTTTTAGGACGTATTTTGACCATACGTCAATATTCGCCTTTTTAGGGCCCCCTTAAACGTCGGTAGATGGCGATCCCGGGCCGTCATACAACTGACGCTTTACCTTTAACGTCAGTTAGGTGACGGGTTAGGTTTAGGGTTAGGTTTAGGTATGGGGTAGAGTTAGGATTCCATAACCTCATCTACCGACGTTTAAGGGGGCCCTAAAAAGGCGAATATTGACGTATGGTCAAAAGACGTCCCTAAACGTCAGTTACATGACGTCTTGGGATGAGACCGGGTTGGTTTTTCGCGCACATGTGTGATGTCATCACACAAGCCAATTCCCATTGGCTCGTTCAATGGTACTCAAAGACGATTGGCTCCCTGGTGTGATCCCCGTTCAAATGACGTCGACTATGTCCTCCGTTCCCTCCTTCAGGAAACGGTGGGTTGCATATGCAACCAGGAAGTTTTTGTACATGGATGGATTATGTTTGTTAAATAAACTGCACATGGTTGTTTGTTGGATAAAAATAACATGAGGTTTGAACATGATGCAGTGGCTAATACAGCAGCCCTGCTTTTGGACAATGGGGAAATAAGCACACTGATAAACCCAGTAGAATTACACCGAAGAAGATGAATTAAAATGTCAAAGAATTCAATCCCAACAAGCAAAGGAATGAGGCTGATTATCTGAACCGCCAGGTGTGTTTTCACAAGCAACGTCAAAGCAATGCCTCCTGTTTACTAATGAGAGTTTATTTTAGCTTTTAATTAGATATGCACAACCTGCTGTGACACTGGCAGTCATTGATTAATGTTGACTGGCCCAGTCAAGTAGTCCATTTAAGTGTATACTATGACTCTATTTTATTCAGTTTTCAAAGCTTAATTAAACTGACCCTGGGAATATATGTAACTAACATACACCGAAATTAAATTTAAAGAGTTCAACAAAAAAAATTAATTATTTACTCACCCTCATGTCGTTCCAAACCATTTTTGTTCTGGATAACACAAAATATATTGTTTGGCTGAATGTCTAAGATGTTCTTTTCAGAAATGAAGGGTGATTAATATGTCGAAACAACGTTAAAGGCAAGATTTTTGGTGAATTACAGCATAAATGATCTTTCTTGAGTAGAAGACTTAAAATACCTGTGCAAGAGTAATATTGATTGTGCATGTCTGTTTAAAAACTCATTTTGTGTTTTATGAAAGCCGGCAGGTTTAGAATGAAATGATGGTGAATAAATGATGACAGCATTGTCATTTTGGGTGAACTTTGCATTAATAATGGATAGCAGGAATGAAGGTATCTTTGGCCTCGCATATGCTCATATATATCAAAATGTGGAGGAGTTCTGTACACACATAAAAATGATGAATTATTTATTTAAACTGACTGATATGACCTCATACTTCTTACTTCATATTTATTTTTATTTTTATTATGTCATGATAGCTCATTTTATCTCATACATTATTCCAAGTTTATTACTGAGTTTTCTGGCAAAACATATCCTTTCTGAAAAAATTGATGGACCCGTTGATGTCTGAAATGTTAAACTTAATGGTCAGCACCACCGTAATTTCTAATAGGTCTTACAAGTGAAAGTAGCCTGAAAAAAATGACCACGGCATAATCACTTGGATAATTGCACTGTATTACATTATGTGCCATTTCCACTTGCACAATTACTGTCCATTCTGGCTCCCCTTCTGACAATAATACAATAAAATTCCTAGCTGGTCTTTTGCACTTTGAATGGTCTTCATGTTCTGCTTCAGTGGGAAATTAACAGAGCTTGCAGAGGAACCTCAACTCAAAATTTAAACTTTAACCTTTATGGCTTTGATTGGAAAAGATTGCTTACTAATCATTATGCCAGTTTGGTATCTATACATTGCAGTTTCATTAAAACATTTGGATGAAAAACAGTGTCTGAAATATCAAACTTTTTTCGGGAGGTCTTTTGGAGGAAAACTGATTTTTTTTTTTTTTTAAATATTAAAATCATAAATCATTCAGCTCAGTGAATCAAAGATGTGGCACTCTTTGAGACACTGCTCTATTGCACAATTCCTTTGAGGACAGACTGACAGCAGCTGGAGGGCTTGTTGAGACTAGAATTCAAAATTTCTCATTAGCTTTGGCTTTATACAAAAAAATTAGAAATAATATTAATAGGGGAGATTTAAAAAATGTAAACTGATGTTCATGTTTTCTATAGTGTTACTTACAACCCACCTGTGACAGGTTGTAAAAATGTCATTCTTTGTACTTGAAATTAATTCAATTAATGACATTTGAGGGATACATTTTTCCAAACAACCTTACTTTATTGCAAAATAAAATAAAATGGAAATAACATTAAAATTTGGGATAGGTAGCCCCTATGTCATAATGTGCATGACATAAAAGAAAATGTAATCCAATTTGAAAAATTCAGAAATTCTCAAAAGATTATAAACTAAACTATTTATAAAAAAGGTT